CACACAGAGCACTGGATAGAAACGAACTGGACAGTAAAGGAAATGAAAAGCAGCGTAAAGAAAGGGACTCTAGAAATTTATATCTTGTAAAAGAAGGAGGTAACATATACAGAGAAAATATTTTAATTCATTTTTTATTTTTATTTGATTATACAATTTTTGCAAGTTTCTAAAGTGCACTAGAAGAAGTCAATCATTATGTAAATTTTTATTTTTTAGTTGTATTAGCTGGAAGTTCAGCTGCAACTGGAGTTTCTCCAGCAGATATGGCGAAACGTTTGGAGATAGAGCAATGGAAGTCACAGATTCTGCGAAATTTAAATATGTTCGTATCAAGAGTACGACTTGTCATTCATAATTTACCACCAACAATGAACGATATTAAACTCAGAAAAATTGTTGAACGTCATAGTCCTCCTAAATCTGTTATTAGAGAGGTATATTTTAATCTACATAGCTTCAATTTATTTATTATCAGAGAATACATAAAATGAATTTTATATAGGCACGTGTTATGCGTGATCTCAGAAACATAGATAACAGAGGAATGGGAAAGTCGAAAGAGTATGCATTCGTTTCATTCATGAGACATGAAGATGCACTTCAAACTTTGAGAACTATAAATAATAATCCAAATATATTTACACCAAACAGAGTACGTAATATATGAACAATATCAATACTAATATTTAAGAAACCCACACTTCATATACTTTGTTATTTGTTTAGAGGCCAATAGTGTCTTTTTCGATAGAAAACCGGGTTATGGTGAACGCCAAACAGAAGAGACTTCAAAAGAGTCGCGAGAACAATCCTCTTTGGGCAGGAAATAAGTTTAAGAGGAAAGCAGAAGATACAAATGGGGAAGTTCCAACAAAACGATTAAAAGTTGAAAATAAAGTCAAGAGGAAAGGAGAAAACACAAATCATGAGGTTCCCACGAAAAAATTAAAAAATGAAAAGGTAGATGAATCAGACCTAAAACCATACGCTGGAATGGTTGGTAAACTAGGTCAAAATAAGTTACGATCAAAACATAATTTAAAAACTCAAGCAATGTTGCATGGTCAAACGGTGAGAAAAGAAAAGAAGATGAAAAAGGCCTCCAAAAAGCTAGAAACGAAAATACAGCAGAAAATTGCAAATCACAAAGAAGTTAAAGTAAGCATCTTTTTAATTTGTTAAAACGTACCCGTTAAATCAAGACAGTTATTTTTATCTTCTTTATTATGCGCTTTTCTTTTCAGCCAAAACAAAGGACAAAGGTAAATCCAGATGACATAAATTTGGATAAACTTGTAAATAAATATAAAGATACGTTAAAGTCGATGGAGCTGAAAAAATCTAAATGGTACGAATCATAAAATTGAATTGTTAATAAAACATGTATTTAAAAAATCATTTCTGCATGTACTGTAAAAATAAAAATGTTTAATAAAAGAATAATGCGTTATTTCTTTATTTTTATATTGACTTTACCCTTTTTATGAATTTATATAACTTTACAAGTAAGAAAATGTATATACAAACATTCACATATTTGAAATTCCCGCCAGTCATGACATCATAATCGTAGATCAGATCGCAGTGACCAATAGATTGGCCTGTAAAGTAGGCAGAACTTAATTTAAAAGTTAGATCTATTTTTTTTTTTAATACTTAAATAATGTATATAGTTTATTTCACTATTCATTCTATGCACTTTAATGTACAGAAAATAAACATTAGTATCACATACCATATCGTATAATATGCAAGAAAAAATATAGTACGAAGGAATTTCGTTGAATCTAATGAATTTCCCACTACTTACGATTATCTCCCACCTGTAGTTCATTTTTCTACGTGATCACTAAACCTCCTAATAATGTCTAATAGTTGGCGGGAACTCTTAAAGAATAAAAGGGTCGCTTAAGCAGTTGTCTC